TCCTCCAGAGTGGAGCATGTTCAGTCTAAGCATCATTAGTGACTTGGATTTGGAGGGAATTTATCTTTAAAAATGGATATCTTTTCTCCCATTCTCTCTACAAGATGGAAAAGAGAGAGGGAAAGAATTAGTGCCACCCCCATTTATTTCAAAGGATCTTATGCAAAGGCATAGTTTTCTTGGCAGACTATACCTATCAACATTCTTTTAAAATGACTTCCCGGTATGTACATTTACCCAATGATATATTTACTTGATAAACATCTCAAGGGTATTCTTAACATTCTGGACTAATACTCTCCCTGCAATGAAATATGGAGCAACTGAAATGTGGGTTGACATTATATTCTCACTTTAATTAGTTGATTATCTATTAATCATGTTTATGTACAACAGATAATTCTAGACTTATTCAAAGAGATCATTTGAGAAAATCAATCAGAGATTTAACAACTTTCACTTGAAGCTAGATCAGTCCACAGTTCATTTCACTTTCTTGACACTACTATGCAACTATATAATGAACATAAAGGTGCTCCGTTACATCAAAACATGCTTATCACTACACATATTTACATGTGCCCAGAAAACACCAACAAAATCTATCCTCTGTGGCTAAGCTCTCACCCAATAAGGTCAATTAATATTTTTTTTTAAAAAAAATGACGTGGCAAGCTAGTTATCCAGGCTCAATCTACTACAAGAAATGCCCAAAAGAGAAAATGAGATAACATTACTATACCCACAGGTTTTGGTATAAGGCCTATTCTTACAGATAGCCTTCCAATCTTAAACAATTACTACCAAGGTAGCTCTTTCAGTTCTCATGGTTATTGCTATCCATCTGTCTGTATCTGTGTTCCTTCTTTCCCCTAGCCATTAAAGCTTTTCCATTTTTAAATAACAACAACAACAGCAACAGAGGCATGGATGCTGAGGGTGAGTTGTGCACCTATGGCACTTATTCTCCCCTCTGAAATGTTTGTTTGTTTGCTTTTTTCTACAATGTTATAATGAAAAAGTGCAATTTCAGTACTACATTGATGCAATATGGCACTATAACTATAAAAAGCATTTTTTTACAAAGTAGTGAGGAGAGGAGGCTCAAACAATGATCAGTCAAGGTATGATTCAGCTAAGTTCAAAATCACATACTTGATTGGGGGGGGCTCCCCTTCCCACCCACCCCCAAAAATGTATGAGCCACAAATATTGAGAATATTCCCATCTAGACATTTTTTTGCTGTCTCTGGTAATGAACAAAAGTAGGGGGGGGAAATAAAAGGATGCAGCTGCTGTCAGGAACTGTAAGAAAATAGTCTGGGATAACAAAAACAGTGTTTTGATTTTTAAAAAAACACAAGTTCTACAGCAACAAATAATGTACAGCAATTTCCAGCAACCTCCCAAGACACATGGTGTGGTTTGTTGTTGTTAACTGTCCTTGAGTCTATCTTGATGAGACATCTCCAAGACTCCCTGACCTCCACTGCTCTGCTCAAGTCCTGCAGACTCAGACCCATGTCCTCCCTGATTTGAGTCCAGCCATCTGGTGTGCGGTCTCCCTCTCTTTCTGCTACTTTCCACCTTTCCTAGCAGTATTGTCTTTTCCAATGAGCCATGCTTTCTCCTGATCTGACCAAATACAACAGCCTCAATTTAATCACCTTAGCTGCTAGGGGTATGATATTTCAGGCTTGATCTGTTCAATAACCCATTTGTTTTTTTTTCTTTTTGGCTGTCCACAGTATCCTCAGCACTCTTCTCCAGCACCACATCTCAAGTGAGTTCATTTTGTTTTTATCTGCTTTTATTTCACTGTCCAGCTCTTGCATCCATATATAGTGATTGGGAATACCATGGCTTGGACAATTCTAACTTTAGTGGTCAGTTGTACATCTTTACTCTGTAGGATCTTCTCTAGCTCTTTCATGGCTGCTCTTCCCAGTCGCAGTCTTCTTATCTTGACTGCGTTTTCCATCCTGAATTATATTTAATCCCAAATACGAGATATCTTTAGTGTTAAAACTTCTGAGACAAATTACAATGATACACCGCCAAGCAGGCATTTGAAACAGCTAATGAGCTCCTACCATAGTACTCATTATCTGATTCAAATACCTGTCCAGCGTATCACTGTAATCTGTCTCTGAAGTTTTACCACTTACACAATGGTTGGAACTTTGTTCTGTTCTTTTATCAGTTCTTACAAGGTACACTGCATCCATTCCTGAAGCTCTAAGATTCATTTGACAAAGTGAATTAATAATAATAATAATAAAATTAATTATATCCTGCCCCTCTGAGATCAATTGGGGCGGCTAACAACAATACAATACAATACAATACAGCAAATCTGGTTCCCTCCCCCCCTTAAAAATTAGAACTCACAAAACTCATGTTGTAATATATATATTACACATATCTTACAGGTCTTATACAACTCCTTTTTGTTTTGCCAACAGACTACACCCTTTGCAAGATATAAGGAGATTGTTACATGGGCTTTTAACCCGACTGCACCCTAGTGGGGTGCAACCAGGAGGCAAGATGCAGGTGGGAATTATCACACATACTTCGTTGCTGATTCTGCTGGTCAAGTGCAGCCGGTTGCAGCCCAGGTCCCAGGAGCACTCAGCAAGCTGCTTTTCAAAGCCGGGAGCTTTCCAATTTTGAAAAGAAGCTTGCTGAGCACTCCAGTGACCCAGGTTGCAGCCCGTCTGTACTTGATCAGTGCGAATTACATGTGATCATTCCCGCCTGCATCTTGCCTCCCAGCTCCTGGCTGCACCCCATTAGGGTGCAGTCGAGTTAAAAGCCAGTGCAATAATCTCCTAAATCAGGGTCTGACTGCTGAAAATTCAAGTGACAGTCAGAGGAAGTTGGAGGGGATCATAGAACTGCTGGCCTCCTGCTCTCTCTGCTTCTCCCCTTCTCAAACCAATGGAGGAGTAGCCACTGGAGGAGGAAGAATATTGGCAGATAGCAGTGGATAAATAGGAAAATATAGATGTTATGCTCCCTTACAGCATCCCTACCCTTATTCCACATAAGCGTCACAATGGTCAAAACCAAGAGTTTGGAAATCTAATCTAATCTATTCTAGCAATGAACTAATTTGTTGAATGTGGATTCTTTTGTAGGCAAAACAGCACTGCTGACAGGAAACCCCAAGGTTTGGAGAACAAGAGAAAATCTTGGGGGTGAGGATGGGCACTCCTCTCCATATACAAAAGCTCTCCAATGAGGACTAGGCATACTAAACCACACAAAGATTTGTTGTGACCATGATACATTTTGAGTATTTTGCTAAGAACAAAGGTCTTACATATGCAATTATCATTGTAGCCTCTAATCTAGAAATGAAAGTGGAGCCATGTCTGTTCCTTACTTGTGTATTCTATTTGTATGTAAATGAGGCTGGGCGGTGGTGTTTATTTTATCAAACACTGCAAGAACTCAACCCTACCTTTTCCCATTTGTGTATCAGATTCCAAAAGTAAACTACCCTAGTGGTTTGTTAGCTCAGGGCCTCATTCCCACTTTAAAAAATCAGTTTGCGATCCGAATTGATGGATCGGTTCAACAGCGGAGCATGGTACACACTACATTTGCCCTGATTGCATTTTCTTGTTGTAAAATAACCCACTTGTCATTCACATTGACTAATGAATCGATTCAAATAGGATCCTCTTGAGCCAGCCGGCAAATTTAAAGGGCAAATTTAAATCGATTCCAATCCGCATCTCATTCACACTTTATTCGATTTATTGCAAAAAACGTGGGGAAAAAGAGCATAAAAAAGACACACATTAAATGGGTCTAGCGCAGGGGGGCCCTCGCCAATTCCCTTCAGTGATTTGGTTCAAGTGTGAACACGGGTCATTCCCACTTCAAACTGGTTAGCAAACCAGGTTATAATGTAGTGGGAATGAGGTCCAGAACTGTTAGAATGGAACACTACCAAAAAAATAAAAAATAAAAAACTGCTGTAGATGTCTCTTAAAAGAGCTCTTTACAAGATATAAGGGAGTGGAATGCAACTGAATCAGAAACAGTAAACTACATGGAAACAAGCCAGATTGTTGTGCCTGTGTCTAAACTGAAGTGCAACATTTACATCTAAGTAAGTAAACAGTGAGAAAAAGAACTGGAATGTCTCAGCCTCCCAAGGCTTCTTGTTGTTGGCCAGTGACAAAAATAAAGGGAGGAAGAGTGGTCAAAAAGACCCACAAAGTATGATTTAAGATTCCTCACAGCATGGATTCCAAGAAAGTGAAAAGAGGCAGAGGGAGAATGCTCCACTAGCCCTTGCAAAATCTACTAGTATGCTATGTGTAAGAATGGCATCAATCCACACACTTCTGGGTAGAAAGTGGAGGAATGGAGTTTTATCTCAGCTCAGTCAAAACATATATTGAACTGACCTTGATGTTCCAGGGAACAATCTCTCTCTCTCTCTCTCTCTCTTTTCATTCTTTCTCTTATCAGTGCAGCAGCCTACAGTTTCACAGGACCTCTACTCTTCTCTTTGAGAACTATGCTTTCATAGCAGTCATTCCTTGTTTGTGGTTTCTGGGACCCATCTGCTGATCCAAAGTTCTGCTGCAAAAGCTAGTCACTCAATAATCCTTATGAACATCAACTTTTTGTTGCAACATACTGATGGCTTACAACTCATCCTTCTGAATCACATTTGGGCAAACAGGCTGTGGTGGCAACAACTCTATGCCTCTTGTCATAGCCAGGAGAGTAAAAAAGCCACTTTGTTGTTGTGCATCATCAAGTTGTTTCCAACTTAATGGTGACCCTGAGGCAAACCTATCACAGTTTTTAGGGCATGATTTGTTTAGAGGGGGTTTGCCTATATCCTTCTCTAAGGCTGAGAGAGTATGAATTGCCCAAGGTCACCCAGTGGGTTTTCAAGTCTGAGCAGGGATTTGAACCCTAGTCTCCAGAGTCATAGTTCAACACTCAAACCACTGAACTCCACATTGACTCTAAAAAGTGAAAGCTATTAGTGTTCAAATATGAAATGTAAGATGCCTCAGGTGTGCATGAAAACAGCAGATGGCAATCTACCTCCTGCTAATTTAATATGGAACCCTGGAAAGCCCTGTAAGATGCAGTCTTGAATCAGGAGCTCTAGCAATATAATCCAGACTTAATACATTCTTGCCACAACAGTAATCTGCTGTCCCTCAAGTGACACAATGGGTTACTACAACTGTACCTCACCCTACAAACCTCCTTATGGCTTGGTTTATTAATCTGAGCAATCTGATGCAGCCTGAGCACAAGACAAGATGCATTGGGAGTAGGCATATTTGTCTGTGGGCCTGCCCCTTTCAGATATGTAGTAGAGAGTGAAGGAGATAATTTGTAAATAGCAATAACAATAGCAATAGCAAGAAGCCAGCCATAGACGCTGGCAAAACGTCAGGAATAAAATCTAGAACACGGCCACATAACCCGAAAAACCTACAAAAAAACCAAACAATAGCAAGTACATTTCTATACCACTTATCAGTGAACTAGCACTCCCTAAGTGGTTTACAGTGTGTAAGGCAATTCCCCCCAACAAGCTGGGTACTCATTTTACTGACCTACAAAAGGATGGAAGTGAACTCTTCTCTCAGTCCCTGCTTTACTTTCTGAACTCTACAATTGGAAGCTTACTTTGCTGCTGAAAGCCAACAGAAAAAATCTGAGGTAACAGAACACAAAGGCAGGTGAGGGAAAAGAGTCGGCTCCTCTCACTCACATAAAACTTTTCATTTT